AGCGCTCCAAGCAGATCCAGCGCAAACACCGTATACAGATCCTCCTGCGCGTCATCTTCGCCGGCATGGTGTGCATTCCCTCCTTCGTCGTCGGTATCCTCTACATGAGCCTGCTCCCCGACAGCCACTCCAAGCACTTCTTGATGTCGCCCTGGACGTCCGGCATCAGCCGCGCCCAGATCGCGCTCTTCATCATGGCCACGCCCGTGTACTTCTTCGCGGCCGACCTGTTCCACCGCCGCGCCATCAAGGAGATCAGGACGCTCTGGCGGCGCGGGAGCCGGGTGCCCATCATCCAGCGCTTCTACCGGTTCGGCAGCATGAACACGCTCATGTCGCTCGGCACCACCATCGCGTACATCTCGTCGGTGAGCCAGATGATTGCCGCCGCCGTGTACCAGGCCGAGGAGGTGAACGATTCGAATTTCTACTTTGACTCGGTCGTGTTCTTGACCTTTTTCTTGCTGCTCGGGAGGTTGATTGAGAGCTACAGCAAGTCGAGGACTGGTGATGCCGTCGAGATGCTGGGCAAGCTTCGCCCGACGACGGCTATCCTGGTCGAGGGGTACGGGACCGAGAAAGAGGAGGATGTTGTCGTCAAGGCGGATCTCCTCGACTTTGGCGACGTGGTGCGCGTCACCCATGGTGCTTCGCCGCCGGCCGACGGCACCGTCGTGAGGGGTCAGAGCAACTTTGACGAGTCTAGCCTAACCGGCGAGTCGCGCTTGGTGAAGAAGGCGGTTGGCGATGAGGTGTTTTCCGGGACGGTCAATAAGGACACTTCCCTCTTGGTGTGCATCACGGGCGCGTCGGGCACGTCGCTGCTGGACCAAATTGTCAACGTCGTCCGCGAGGGCCAGACGAAGCGAGCTCCGATCGAGCAGGTTGCCGATCTAATGACGTCGTACTTTGTCCCGGTCGTCACCCTCATCGCCGTCCTCACTTGGATCATCTGGCTTTCCCTCGGACTCAGCGGCCGGATCCCGTCACACTACCTAGACGTCACCTCGGGCGGCTGGGTTGCGTTCTCGCTGCAGTTCGCCATTTCGGTCTTCGTCGTGGCCTGCCCCTGCGGCCTCGCTCTTGCCGCTCCGACAGCCATCTTCGTGGGCAGCGGCCTTGCGGCAAAGCACGGCATCCTGGCGAAAGGCGGCGGCGAGGCGTTCGAAAAGGCCAGCAGGATCGACTGCGTCGTCTTTGACAAGACCGGCACCTTGACCGTGGGCGGCGAGCCGAGCATCACCGATTCGGAGATTTACCCCGAAGACGCCGCCCAGAAGGATGCCCTCCTGGCGGCACTGAAAGCGATCGAGGAGAACAGCAGCCACCCAATCGCCAAAGCCATCGTCTCGTTTTGCGCCTCCCAAACCTCGTCCCGAGCCACCCTCGACGACCTCCAAGAAGTGCCCGGCAAAGGTATGAAAGCGCGCTACTGCGGCTCGACCCCCGAATCTTCCTTCGACCTTGCCGTTGGCAACGAGGCCTTCATGTCCGACTTCTCAGTCCCGATCCCGTCCCAAACAACAGCCGCCCTCCAACGCTGGAAATCCGAAGCCAAATCCGTGGCCCTCATCGCCACCAAGCCCGCCACGTCGTCGGACGGATGGACCCTCTCGGCAGCGCTCTCCATCTCGGACCCCATCCGGCCCGAAGCGCCGCGCATCATCCGCGCCCTCCAGTCCCGCGGCACCCGCGTGTGGATGCTGTCGGGTGACAACCCCACCACAGCCGCCGCCGTCGCCTCCCAGCTGGGCATCCCGTCCGACCAGGTCATTGCGGGCGTGCTGCCCACCGGCAAGGCCAAGAAGATTAAGTACCTCCAGGCCACGGTCAGGGCGCGCACCGGTGGGGCAAACAGCGAGGCGGCTTCGCGCCGCGCGATGGTGGCTATGGTCGGGGACGGCATCAACGACAGTCCCGCGCTGGCGACGGCGGATGTCGGCGTGGCGATTGGGTCGGGCGCGGACGTGGCCATCAGCACGGCGGATTTTGTGCTCGTCAAGAGTGACCTCCGGGCCGTGGTGGATCTGCTCGACTTGTCGGCCGTGGTTTTTACGCGCATCAAGTTCAACTTTGGCTGGGCCGTCGTGTACAACTGCATTGCGCTGCCTGTGGCGGCCGGGGCGTTTTATCCCATCATGAGCAACGGCCAGCATGTCCGGCTGGATCCGGTGTGGGCGAGCTTGGCCATGGCGTTGAGCAGTATCAGTGTGGTGCTGAGCTCGCTGGCGCTGAGGGTCAAAGTCAATGGGATTGGGTATCGGGAGAGGAGGATCGAGTGAGCCTGAGGTTTTGTTTTGTCCAGAGGCTTGAGCGGGTTTGTGGTTGGGAGAGCAGGATTGAGCTATTTTTTTTTTTCCTTGAGGGGTGATTGGGGGATGGGCTGATGAGGACCAGATTGGGAAGGTTTGGGACACATGGGAGCGATGAATTGCATGGCACAGATTTAGTTATAGATACCCGTGGTTTCATAATAATGTCTTGATCTGTTTAATCAATGGTTTTTGTTTGTGTTGGGGGAAGTCCTCTCTGAAATCCACACTGTGATCTGCGACATGCAGCCAAAGTGGAGCAGCTTGCTTCATTCAGCCTTCAGTTGCCCCAAGCTCCCAAAATGCGAAGCCGATGTCCGAACAAAACAATGGAAGCAACTGAAACCACTGTCTCATTCACTTGACTCCATCTGATCTCAGACCCTGCATGGATCTTCGGTTTAGGCGCCTCGACAACTCGTTATTTCTCTACTCACAAAAAGCAGTCCGGTTAATACATTCTTTCCAGGTCGACAGGTACACCAAATAGTGGGGTGGTCACTGTGGTTACCGCCGCAGCTGTTTGCCCGTCACTTGTCACTTCCAACCGCAGACGCCGGGAACACGAAACACGGCAGAGGCAATCACTTCTCGGCACAACCGCCCAAAATGAATTCCAACGTCAAGCGCAAGTTCAATGCGCTGCTCCAGGGCATTGGCAATCGGCCCGCGACGGAGCGCAGCAGCACCGACATCGACCGCAGCCTCGTCGATCCCGCATCTTCGCCCACATCGCAGCATTCATCATCGCCATATCCCTCGAGAACAATGGCCAACGACAGCAGCCTCGACCTCCACAAGAAGCGCCGCGTCGGTGGACCGGCTTCGACACCCACAAGAAACAGCACGCTCCAAGGCACGCCGATGCAGTCATCGCCCGCAAGCATACGGAGCGTCCCGCAGACGACGACCATCTCGAACGTCACATTGAGGAAGTGGACCCCAGGAGGCGCTAGTCCGGCGCCCGACGGAAGGGAAGGGCTGCCGCCGCCGCCAAAGTACTGCCCGGGCGACCGCGACCAGTTGCTCCGACGGCTAGCCACCTTCCAGGAGCTGACTGACTGGACGCCCAAGCCGGACCGCGTCAGCGAGGTGGAATGGGCGAAGCGCGGCTGGGCGTGCCAGGGCAAGGAGCGCGTCAGGTGCACACTGTGCGCGCGCGAGCTGGTGGTCAAGGTCAACAAGAAAGAGGTGGACGGGAAGGAGATCGCGGTGCTGATCGCGTCCGAGATCGCCGAGTCGGTGGTGGACAAGTACGTCGAGCTGATTGTCGAGTCGCATGCCGCGGACTGTCTGTGGAGGAAGAAGGGATGCGATGGTAGGCTTTTTCCTTGGTTCATCCTTCCGTTCAAGTTGCTTAGTTACTTATCATTGCTAACATCTCTATTCTAGACGCCCTCCTCCGCTTACCCCTCCCCAACCCCAAACTCGCGCTCCAAGGCCTCCGCCAGCGCTACGACGAGCTCTGCGAACGCGCCGCCTTCCTCCCCTACGAATTCAACCTGCGCCTCCCCCCGACCCTCAACCTCGACACCATTCTCCCCCACCTCCCCGCAACATTCTTCACCAACCCGCCACCCCCGCCCAACAAAGCCAACCCCTCCACCTCCTCACCACCACCCATCAACCGGCCGGCGCTCGCCCTCGCCCTCCTCGGCTGGCAATCCCTCACCCACCCCTTCCTCCACCACCCCGTCCCCAACAGCGCCTCCTGCCACACCTGCCTCCGCCGCCTGGGGCTGTGGATGTTCAAGTCCCGCGAGGTCGACCCGGCCACCGACGAGGTCCTGGTCCCGGCGCCCATGGACCACCTCGACCCGCTGCGCGAGCACCGCTTCTTTTGCCCGTGGAAACACCCCGCCGCCCAGCGCAACCCGGGCGCGCGGCCGCTGGCCAAGGGGGAGCGGGAGCTGGCGGCTTGGGAGGTGCTTGTGTTGGGGTTGAAGAATGAAGCGTTTATTCGGGACAAGGTGGCCGGTTCTGGTTCTGGTTCTGGTTCTGGTTTGGGCACGGGGAAGAAGAAGAGTAAAGGTATGGGAATGGGGATGGGTTTGGCTGGCCATGGGAGGAGTAAGAGTAGTGTTCCTGCTTCTGGGCTTAGTAGTAGTGGTGTTGGGGGGGAGGGGGGGACGCCCAAGACGCCTGAGCGGCGGCCGATTACGGTGGATGGCGGGCCGAGGATGCTGGTTGGGAGTGGTGGTGGTGCGGAAGAGGAAGAGGAAGAAGAAGAGGTGGATGAGGAGGAGGCGAGGAAGACCAAGGATAAGGATATGATGTCGCGACTGAGGAGGGTCAAGAGTCTGTTTAATACTAAGGCGGGGGGCAAGTTGCGCCGGTTCGGGAGCAGGCCGGGGACGTCGCATTCGAGTGTGGGCGGGGAGGCGGCGACGTGAGGCGGATTGTTGCTTGGGGGTGGTTATGATCGTGGGGGGGCGGGTAATGGCTAGCGATGGGAATGGAGGCACATGTAGTATTTCTAGTATGGGTGGACCAACCATGCATGACACAATAATTAACTGACAACCCACCCGAGTCGAATTTAACATAAGGCATTAATACAAAGAAGGCATGAACCACCCAAATGAGGAAGAGAGGGAGTGAAATGGCAAAAAGAGCAACCATCATCAACCCACATCCCTCCGATTGTCGCACATAAGACAGATGACACCAAAAATCGATCTGAACTCAGGGGCTGTCCGGGGATTGAACCCGGGACCTCTCGCATATTTTAGTGTGCCCGATTAAGACAACCCAAAGCGAGAATCATACCGCTAGACCAACAGCCCGCGTTTGTACAGTGTGCGATATCGGAGGGTGTTTAGGTTTATCCGACGTGAGACGAGAGCGTATGATTTTGTAATGAAAGTATGTTACGTCGGTGCTCTTTATTGTTCTCTTTCGGCGAGCCGGATTCTCTTTTCCAGTGTGAGAGTTGCGTGCCGGGTTGTGCAATGCCGGGAAGTTCCACAAATGAGTTATTACCGGCGGAGCACTCGTGTGTAAACATATCCCGAAGTAACATGTCTAATGATTAGTCTAGGAACTAAGTAGCACGGAAGAGTTCTGAAACATCTACTAAGTTTATTCTTGAATGGTTAGTTTAGGCTTTTATACATTTGGAATTTAAGATAGTTTCCATTTGACGAAAAGAAACCTAGATTAAGTTCACAACCTACAGCCGCAGGTGCAAGGAGATTGTCTTTGATTACCATCCGGCATCCCCTTACAATAAAGCATAGCAGGAGAGCAGTGAAAGTGCAGTTACATTGCAGGAAAACGCGCCAGATTGGGAGAGTTGTTTAGCAAATACGTTGCGAGAATGGGTTAGCTTGATCTCCAAGTTTTGGTCATTGAGCAGGTAAGCTGTGCGGTAACGTTTGGAGTTTACTACGTTCGAGTTTAGCACAAACATTTATAGCCTAAGAGGGAAGAGGGATGACACGTCTATGACTTGCACCCTAGTTTCTCTCGGCTAGCGCATCAGCACTATACGGCTCCTCATAGCCAACAATCTCAAGGCTAACTGCGGTCACTTCCATCTGTCGGGGCCCGGGGGCGATGAGCACAAATTGGACTACTTCTAGGGGAGCTGAATAGTTATTTACCTAGGTAGATATAGCTGTAAAAAAATTCGTTCTCTTTCCCTAGGTCTCTCAAAGTTAGTCAAGTGCGAACTGGAGAGAACGTCTATGTCTGTATATATGTTTCCATCTACTTCAAGTTGTGTGCGTTACCCGTACGTGCAAGAGATCACCACTAATCTTGGAACACCCCCCCACCGCCACAGCTCTTGCTATAGCTAGCTCCTTGTTCAACACCCTCCGAATGAGATAGCATATATGGAAATCGTATACGTTGAATCGGAAGTTAGACAAAATGGTCCTAAGCATCCCTAGACTATGCTCGGCGGTAAAGAACTCGGGCTTTAACTTGCCTTCCTTCTCTAGTTCCTCGTCCTCCTAGTTGTAGCCGCGCCTATTATAGCGGACATTCAAGAAATGTCTATGAACACCCCAAAATAGCTAGCCCCGGTCGTCGGCTTTTCGAAGCGTGTTTTCCCACGAGTCTTCAAGGTCGTTGATGGCAAATACCCGCTTGCTGCATTTATAATGATAGAATCCTCGGCGATGAGTTTGCGATACTCTTCTTCCATTCTTTGCTCCCGGGCTAGCTCTAAGGCTTCCTCCTTAGCGGCCTCCTTTTCGAGCTACTCGGGCGATGGGCGATGGGCGCTCGATCACTATCCCGAGACAGCGGTAGATATAGCACATCTTAGGCACAGCTAAGGCAGGGACCGAGCGAAGAAAAGGGGGAGGGAGAATGTCGAGAGTATAAGAAAGAGACGTCGGACGGAAAAGGCTCTATTTATACTACCGGTACGCGAGGGCTGTACGAGCTTTGGTTTAGACGAGGCGCTACACCCGATCGGAAGGGGCGCCATTTCCGGCAAGTACGAGAGCTATGTTTTACTTCATTAGAGTTGGTTATCTAGCTAAGAGTAAGATAGGATAGGGCAATGTCTACAAACTACATTGAAATCAAAGAATCCTCACCCATGCTTATATAACCAACCTTTGAGCACGGCGCTTAATATCGGATTCAGGCTCAATGGTCTAGTGGTATGATTCGTGCTTCGGGTGGATAACCCACCGCCTGTCAACAGGCTCGAAGATGTGCGAGGTCTCGGGTTCAATCCCCGATTGAGCCCTCCCTTGAATCCCTTATTTTTTGAACTTTCTTTCGCCTTGGCCATTCATTTTTAAGTTCCTTTTCTTTTTGCTCGGCTTCTCTACCATCCATCCATCCACCGTTTGTTAATTCATTCATTCTTTGCCCTGGCGAATTGCCGCCATGCCGGAAATGGGCCCATCGCGCGTCTCTATGTATCGACACACCGGGTTCATCATGCGGGAACACGTCGAAGATGTCGAGCGCTACACGCCCGGCGGCTATCACCCCGTTGACATTGGCGACACAATCACCAACCGCCAGGACTCGGATGACTACACCGTCGTCCACAAGCTTGGGCATGGCGGCTTCTCCACTGTCTGGCTGGCCAAGCGACAGCGCAAGCAGCCGCTTGACTCTACCGGACAACCACAACTCTCGTTCCACGCCCTCAAGATCCTTCGCGCCGACCTCGGTGACGCGCGCGCCAGTCATGAGCTGCACTTCCTCCAACGGCTTGGCCAAGTGGGAAGGTCCAGTCACCCAAACCTCGTCATGCTCGAAGATTCCTTCACCGTCTCTGGCCCTAACGGCCAGCACCGCTGCCTTGTATTCCCTCTCGTCGCGTTCAGCCTTTACTCGGACAAATCACGGAGCTTGACTCCTTCGCAACGACACGATACGTGCCAGCAGCTTGCAAGCGCCGTCGCCTTCCTCCACTCACACGGTGTCTGCCACGGTGGTATGTAAGGCTCAAGTTTCTCAGTTCAAGACGTACTAATTGACCAATACGCGCCTATCCTAGATCTCACATCGTCAAATATAGTATTCAAGGTCCCAAGTATGCAGTCTATGATTGAAAGCCGTCTTCTAGAGCTTCTGGGCCCTATCAAAGAGGAGACGCTTCGACTCTGCAAAGGCCCTGTATCCCACTCTACATACGCTCCGAAGAAGGTAGTTGCCTCTGCGTCCTTTTCTGGTCTCGACTCTTCATCGCTGGCGACGGTCCAAATCATCGACTTCGGCTGCGCCTTTTCAAGCAATAGCCCGCCGCCGACCTTGGGATGTCCGGTTGAGTGCTTCCCACCAGAACTCCTTTTTGACTATCCGGCTTCGACCAAATCCGATGTCTGGCAGCTTGCAGCTCTTGTCTACTATACGTCGACCGGCCAGGATATGTTTCAAGTCGGCTTTCAGATCTTCACGCACCTGGTTGCTTTCGTCGTCCGACACCATGGCCCTGTCCCCGCTCTTTGGAAGGGGAAGTTCGTCTGGAGCAAATACGGTCTAGCACAACCCGGACAACCCGTGGCTCCGTCGCCCGAACCAGACTGGTGGTGGTCCTCCGATGACAAGCGACCGATACCGTCGTTGGAGTACCGGTTCGCCAAACGGGCCTCGTACCTCTCCGCAGCCCAGCGGGATGAGCTCGCGCGTTTGCTCCGTGACATGGTTGCTTGGGAACCTAGTTGCCGCATCTCTGCTGCGGAAGCAGACCGGCGTCTCAAGGCTCCAGTATTTTCCTCGCTTGGGTAAAGAACTACTATTAGGGAGTGAGTACGTACCTCGGTGGATGTCAGGACGATGGGCGTTATCTATTAGCGAGCCAGACTATATCGAATGAGAAGAATTTCGGAGGAGGGGCTGTTAAACTTTATACCCAACCTTCATTTTTGGTCTCTCAAGTCGTGTGTCCCGGCCCACGATGACCCTGGGATCTTGGTGCCCTTGAGAGGGGGGATACTTGTCCAACATACCTCCTTGTAAAATCTTCCTTGTACTTGATGTCGTGATGAGCCAGAACGCTTCTCCCGGGGCAGCAATCGTCCTTGAAACAAGCCTGCGCACAACCCGCACCTAAGAAATGACAACAGGAACCGGCAACCAATCCCCCCTAGTCATCTTGTGTTCTACGAGCTCCACAAGTCCTGCACTGACAGCAACGTGTCACAGGGCAAAGACCGCTTAGATTTCTTGATCATACAGACAACTGCGAGAAAGAAATGCCGTATCTCCCCACTCCCCACCTAGCTTACTCATGCTCGGTGCCTCCCATCTCAGTGGTCAACGGCCAAACACTCGAGTAATGAGTCGTCATGGCGCTGATATACCCCTGATCATTGATATTGGGTACAGACGCTAAACATAATCCTACAAATCCAAGCATGATGGTATCCCGCTACAACAGTCCTTCGCTGAAAACGGACAAATGTATCCTACACCGATACTCTCTCACACAAAAATGCCAACAGACAAATAGTACCCACACCACACCGCACACAGCTCGTTCATCTTCAAACTAACCAACCCCAACAGAAGACCCCCCCCCCACGACCACGGGCAGGTAAGGTAAAGGTAAAGTAAGGTAGGGATCAATCAATACTCAGCCCCCACCCAATCCAACACAGCACAAACCACCTCGACCGCCACCACGGCGCCCCTCGCCGCCATAGACACCACACTCTCAATCAACAACACGGCCATCCAAACCGCCGCAAACGCCGCCTCGCCCATGCTGCTCAGCCCCCGGAGCACCCGCGCAAGCGCCACCGCCATGGCAACCGCCGCAACCGCATCATGCCTACTACGACGACCAACAACACCCATTCTCCTGCTGCTCCGCCCCCCCGATCCAAGACCAAGAAGACCAAGACCAAGACCAAGACCAAGACCAGAAGAAGACGACGCCACATTCGTTGTTGTTGTAGATGATGAGGATGATGTTGATGATGATGATGATGTTGCAGGGCGGCCCCAGGCTAGTCAATGTCCTCCTCCTCCCCCTCCTCCACCATGACCTCCACCGTAACCACCACCAACCGAGATGGCGGTGGTGGCAAGGGGGAGGGAAGAAGGGTGGTGGGACAGCAGGCGGCGGTTCTTGCGCATCAGCTGGTTGAGGTTCTTTTCGAGTTTTTCCGTCTCCTTGCGCGCTGCCGAGAGGGCTTGTTCCGCGTCTTCGAGCGACATGAGCGGGACGTTGCCGAAGGGGCCCGGGGAGGCGAAGTTGATGCCGCCGCCGCCGCCGCCGGCAGCTGCGGCGATCGCTGATGAGGAGGCCGAGGCCGAAGCCGAGGCCGAGGGTTGCTGGGGTTGGGTTTGTTGGTTGTTGTGGTGA